CACATACGCACAATAATCCTCCATCTCCAAATATAAATGCATGCCCCTTTGGCGAATCGGTTAAAATTGTGTCCGGTGTTGTGAGGTGTGGCAAATATTGCTCCATCTATTCATGTGAGCGACTGACGTCACTCCCAAGGGTTATGCGGCAACAAGTCAACGTGAGCAACACACGCTATCGATCGATTTGCTGACGATCGGATTTGGAAGTGAAGTCACTCGATTACCCATTAGTGCCATGTCAGATTAATCCTAGCCAGGCTTTGCATCAGCGGATTTTAGAGGTCTGAGAGATTAGCTTTATTGGGTTACGAATTTGAAAACTGTGGCACTTCGGATTCACCGTTTTCCGAACGGCAGTGACTATTACTGGAAGTGTGGAGCTCAACAAACACGGAAGACCACTGACAAAATTGTCTAGCTTTTGCTGATTGAATATGTCTGGAACCAGCTGCTTGTGCAGCGGCATGAATGGCACCGAGAAATCTTCGCTCTGTAAGTCAGTCTGATTTGTGATCTCAGTTCGTTAGAATATTTTTGGGACTCCCTTAAAAGCTTGAAGGAGGTTGTGAGGAAAAAAATAAGAAGTCACGACCAATGTATATTCAAGACGTCGAGATTATTACAAGTAGAACTAGAAATACAAGATACTAACTATTACGTAGATTGTTTACCTTTAATGTGCACTTAGAAATTTGAGTAACTGGAAATTAATTCAAATTTCAAAACCATGATTTTAGCTTCAGAAATGGCCAAAGGTTTTGTGCCTATGTGTACAAAACCAAAGAAAATAGTGAATGCAGTGCACTTAAAGCATCATTTCTTAGTTTCTCATTGATTTGGATTTCAGTTTTTCTCCATGGAATAAAAAAACATATGTGAAATAGTGGTTATTGATTGGTTCAAGCGAACACCTGCAACGAATCCCAGGTTCATACTTTTCTGATAGACAACGAAATTATCAAACTTGATCAATGCGAATTACTACGGCGCAATGAAGAAAACTTTACAAGCACTCAGGGCGACGGTGGTTGTTTGATACTCTTCGAGGTAATATTCTTTTCTTGCATGTATTTCTCGTTCAGATTTATTTACCCCAAATTAAATTAGCCGCAATTTTCGTAGCATTCTTCCTACGTACCATTATCGGAGATCGAGAGACTCTTTTCAAGCTATTTTCTGAAAGCCGAATTGTCCGAAACGTGCAATTTGAGAACTCTGAAAAATCTGAGGATAAAATAAACTTCTCTTTTGGTTGGTCTAATTTTCTGTTATTTAGAAAAATGTGATTTTTTAAAAGTCACTATTGTGGTCATATTGAACTAAAATCAAGCAAGACTTATTAATTTCGAACATGTATATTTCCGTAAAGTTTTGCATAAGAATTCATAAAATTTCAATATGCACGTATAGACAAGGACCGTACAGCTGATCTACGTCTATTAAGTCAATATAACGTTCAATTTAACCAATATATAGATTGTTGTTGGTGTTTTATACAAAAAAATAAGTTTGCCTCCTCGGGTCAGCATCATCANCATCATCACCATCATCATCCTCATCAAAAGCATCCACAGCTGTGGATTTAACTGGAACTCGAAATTCCAAAGGGGTTTGGGTGACGCCAACATTTGAGATACAATTTTTTTCTCGAACAGAATAGAGGTCGGAGGGAGGGAATAAATTAGTGATTATATCCAGCTGCCTCAGTCGTTGTTGACTCTCGTAATCAAGTTTTATTCTTTCTTGTTATATTTTGTAAGCATTACAAGTGCAACCATGTATTTTTAGCTTCCTCACTGATACGTACCAGTTGTTCTGTTACAACGCAGTGACAGTCTGTTTAGAATAATCAATTCGGCTGATCGTCTTTGGCGGTTGTCTCATTTGACTAAACACTGAGCCACTGGCTACACTCAGACTATTACTGGTCATACTTGGCACAATTTGCGTATCATCACCATAGCTTTGTATGTACAAGTCGGAACTGTGAGCGGTCTCACCGGAACACAGTGAGTCTGTGGGTGAATAGGGTACGTTGTGATAGAGATGTGGTAGAACAATTTGCGAACAAGAAGAGGCCTCGCACTGGTAGCTCATCGGAACGCCCGCAATCGTTGAGTTATCTTCGTCAACCGGCCCGTCGTCCTCTTCCATCGAGGTGGTCTCATCGCAGTACGTTGGTGATAACATGAGACGTTTTGGAATCGTGTCCAACAATAGAGGTGTTGGTGTGGGAAAATCGGAGTTGTTCGGTTGCTTCGCCTGATAGATTGCTGCTGGTGTGCCCGCTGGTACGCTGCCCAAATTTATGCTTGGCCTCGATTTGGGCACAACTGTGGTTGGTTTTATATCCACCTTTCTCGGTGCTTCATTGACCACTAAAGGGTTGGAGATCACGTTGACGAACGAGTTTTTCGGCTTCTGATCGTCGGCTAGAGGGTGTAGAAAAACAAGGCATACGATTAATTGCTTCCTATTTATCACCAGGGGAAAAGTTGAATGACTGTTATAAAATAAGTATCACATTTTAGTCATCTGATGATCGCTGAGTGTGGTGAAATCTGTTTTTTTATTCTGTTCGATCCTTGACTCTCGTGAAAATGTCTTTCTTCTAAGACAGACAATGAAGCTTTTAGTTTCGTGCGAGCTGATTGCTGACATTATGCTTCCTGCAAAACTGCCGTCACTCACTCACTCCCTCACTCACGCATGCACTTGCCTAGACCCAGTACTTTCTCGAATTTATTCACACTTACATACACATGCACACGAATACACAAACACACACTAGCTTTTTTCCACATACTCTCGAAACCTCTTGAACGAAACAATCTGCACAACGTCTTGTTCCGGACATGATCGTGTAAATCGCGCATCTTTTTCACAAACCGGAAGGAGATTGTCCACTCGAAAATGTCGGACAAACATAAATCAAAACGTTTCCCGAGTGTTTGCCTGAACCCATGGTTTGCTTTTCCTGAGTAAACCATAAGTTGAGATTCTCTGAGCACTAGATATGCCGAAATATCCTGATAATGGTGTTGTCGTCATCCGTCTTGTGGAAAATGTGGTTCTCACGTTGAACAACGAGAACACATTTTAAGGTTATGTTTTAAAAGTTGTATTCATCGTTATATTGGTTCAAACTTGAGAACTCCCAATACATATTCTATGATTACATTTACTCTAATAAACCACCCAAGCACGTAGTTAGTGATTTTTAACTAATCTCAAAACGTTTAAATAAAAATGTGGAATAAACATTAGTAGATCAAAAGTTATGGGAAATGAATTTATTGTGGAATATTACCAGCGAGCAGCATAAACAAGAGGACCGAAAACTGTGTTTTTCATGGGTTTCTCTAATCGGAGACAGATAAGGGTATTGCTTGAATCAATAACCGAGTAATGTATTCATCAAATATTTGTACCTAAGAGGGTTACCAATGTGCGGTTTCACAATAGTTAAACAGCTTTACGAACAATGATGAGCAATCAATAAACCTTGGTTAACTGAAGACAACCTCACACACGAATATAAAGGATCTATGGGGTTCAAACTACGCACTAATCAAAATGTGCCGTTTAATATGAGTGTTGCAAACGAGCCCGTATGCTTTTGGCTATTTCCCTATTGTTTCGCAGCGCATCAACCACTTTCAACTTGATTATCCATCGAATGTAGATAGAATGGCCCTTATTAAATGTGCTTCCAGTAACGCTGGAGCTAAAAAGTGCATAGCTGGTTAAACGCTCTTCAACTGCTGGATGTGTATTGATTATCATAGCTTATTAAATGATCAATATATATAATCAAGTGGAGGATCGTTTTCAATACAATCCCTTATCTGAAACGCATCATTGCGACTTGAGATAATCAAATTGTACAAAGGAAAGAAAATATGACCTCAGTGTTGGTTTAGCTTACCGGTTTCTAAACCACTCAGATCTAGGATCTAGAATCGGTGACCTATATTTTGAACTATCTCATACAATTTATGCTTCAGAATTCATTTCCTCATACATGGTCTGTTCCATTCAAATGATGAACACATAAAGTAGATGATTTTGATGGATTCAATGAACAAATATCAAGAAACAACATTTTAGGCGTTCACTCGAGGTGCATTATTGTGTTGCTGATCAATCTGGTAGTTAAGCCTGAATGAAACAAACAAAATCGTTACCTTGAGCAAAGGACCTCCTTGGTTTGGTCAAATCCACGTCGGCATTGACCACGCTGTCCAATGCAGTCCCAGATTCACCAACCTCATCCATCCGCGTACTGCTGGTCATAGTTAGTGTGGCAGACGCTCGGGTATGACTATTTGAACTCTGCGCGGCCAACAGACTCGCACCGCCTAGCGCACTGTTTCCTTCGTCTGAACCGATTCCCCGCGGTCCATTATCTTTGTTCCGATTTTTATCGTTCGAGTCGGCAGTTTTCAGACCGAGTTCCTTCAATCGCGCTTTGGCTTTCGGGTTGTTCATTGTCAGACGGCGTACATTCTTTTCAGGATGAATGTAAATAATGTAGAGCTTGGGCAGAAACAGACAACTGAGCATCACGCTGGCCGACAAACTGATTGCGATGCATAAGGTGGTGATTTGTATCTGAGCGGTGTGAAGGTACAAAAGGGACACTTTGTGAAAACATGTCGAATAGAAATTCCTTAGCCAATGAGTTGATGCGCATGCTAACAATCTGTTGCTCGCTGATGAATTAGGTGACAAATGATATTGTGCATTTCTACTAGAACGTTTGAAATGATATACCATGTGCGCTTCTTAATTCAAATCGAAGTATAATGAATATGGTTTCATGTTTTCTCTTTATCAGTCAAAGTCCCCTTAACCTGAAATAATGGATTCTGATTGTATATCCCTCGGACGTGGAGAGACATCAGTAGGGCAGACAGACACGCCTAAGAGTTTGTTGGCAAGATGCAACAAGCCTCTCAGCTGAACTGTGGGCTCACTGCTGACTCACATTTCATTGTCAACTTTCTCTGATTGGGAGGGGTGTGTATCTCCGCAGTAAAAATGGGATTTTCAGACATTCTATGTTAAATGAATAAAATAAGTGTTAGTTGCATAGAAACTGCCGCATAGAGTAAGCCAATCAAACTATGTTAGGTACCAGGTGTAACTGCAAATAAGTTAATCTTTTGTATCATTCTACCGAAAAACGGACACATTTAGAGTTTAGTAGGACTACAGAGGAGAGAAAGTAATACAAGAAAAAGAAAATCGTACTACTCAACTTTCTATCAAAAGGACACCGCAGTTGAAACAATTATAGAAGCTTCTGGCAACTTTCTTTGGTATCACATTAAACGATTTCAAACTTCGATTGTGTCTTACAGGAAACCCATGGTCCCAAGTTAGAATAGGAGAATAACTCTTGATGTTTCAACTAATGGTGTTCAATGGCGAATTCCG